GGGGGGGGGGGGGGGGGGGGGGGGGGGGCAGTTAGAGATGGACTTGATCAGATCTATGGAGGACCAAAACTGACAGTTAGAAATAAAAGCAGAAACATATAAATGGACCAATAAATAAACAAATAAATACACTTAAAGCTGACCAATTAATTAAAAAAACGTTTAACTTTACCTCATGTTTTATAATTTAATTGACCTTCACATTTATTTTTCCAGATTAGTTCCAACAAATTATATATTTTAGAACATAATATACATTTTACGGTTTTTACAAATTGATATTTTTTCCCTTTTACTTATAGATGCATCTGTGTCCCTTAAATAATTATAATTTTTTCCACAAGTCTTTTTTATTTCCATTTGTTACTTTTACATTTCTCTGTCTCCTGTTTTTATTTTACCTTTCTGCCTCATTATGCAAAAAAGGTGGGCAAAGCTTCTTGGTTCAGCTCCTCTCCTATTGGTCAACAGACAGGAAGGAGCAGGATCCATGTGCAGATCTACTGTGCATGCTTGTGCTGCCTCAGTTTAGCTTCAAGTTTAAAGTTTAGTTTAAAACTATAACAGGTAAAGTTTTCTTACTTGCCTTTGTGCTAAAATACATTTTATTGGATCAAAGCTAGAGAACAAACATTGATTTAATTATAAAACATAAGGTAAAGTTCTCCTCTTTTAATTTAATTGGTCAATTTCAAGTGTATTTATTTATTTAGTTATTTGTCCAATTATATATTTCTGCTTTTATTTTTTATTATGACAGTTTCGGTCCTCCATAAAGATCAGCCATAAAAGAATGAAAACCACTGATTTGACTCTGGAGCTGAGCTTGTACTATGTTTTAGATGTTGTTTAAATGAAGAATCTTTCTGGAAAATCGTCCAATTGTACCTTTTATCTACAATACAGAGGAGTGCTGACCACAGAGGGATTCTATTTTAAAATATGTGAACGGTTTGATTTTGCAGTGCTGTAAAAAGATGTAATCTTGCATATGATATGCTCTCCTTAGACAGTTATGTTTTCATATAATACAACTAAAAGAAACTTAAACAACACAAACTAATTGATTTAYTCGTGTCATGAATAATGTTTGCTTTAGCTGAAAGTGTTAATATATGTTTATATTGTTTGTGTTGGTAACATGTCCGATACGTGAAGTAAAACTGCACATTATTCACATGGTCAGTGTTTGAAAGTTGGAAGATACCCCCCACCACCCGTCTCCATCTAACCTGATATAAAGGACTCATTAAGTGTGTTGCTTGCTGTGTGAAAACATAGGAATCACAAACAATGCCACCAGCCAGGGYGCTAATGCAAACCATGGATAAACAACATGAAGCACAACATGAGGACCACGTTAAATTACAAGCAAAGACTGACTTTAGGCATCCTCGGCGCCCCCCTCCCCCCAGCTGGCACAACAAAACTGATCCCTGTTCAGTTTTGGCAGCTGATGCACGAAGCTCAACGGAGATGCAGAAACAAAACAAAACAAAAAAGTTTTCAAGCACATACAAACATGCAAAATGTGAAATAATTAAGCATTCAAAAGCCGCTGCAAACAATGCAAAACTGTTTCTAGTCGATGTGACGGAGGTGGAACGACTGATCTGTCTCTCAGAGCATTTCTGTTTCCTTTCCCCAACATTTACCTGATTCACAGGTCGACAAAACTCACAATGAGCGTGAGACAGGAAAAAGTCACAAAGGTACTCAAATTGGAGTTCTAGKAAGTTGTAAAAAATATTTCTGAGGAAGGATTAGTTTACATTACAGCTGTGAATCCCCTGGCTTGATTTTACATTTTGTTTATGAGATTAAATGAACCCACTGATGGAGAGACGTGGATGTTTCGTGGATCTTAAACGTAAATTAAACACATTTCAATTTCAAATCAGTTAAGGCGGTCTGTCTACTCCTTTAGGTTATTTACACTTTACCAGCAAATTCTGGCCAATAATAACATCTTTTTTTGTAACAGGACTTTGTTTTAATTACTGAAACCTTCTGTCTAAAAATGAGTCAAAAAAGGCATTAAAGCAAATTATGTCATCTCAATTTTAAAATTTTTGTAATAAAAATATTCCCAATTTGAGAAGAGATGAAATTAAACTCATCATTACAACTTAAAAAACCCTGGTAGGTACAGGCAAATAATATCAGCCAAACAGAACAAAAGGAAACTAAAACAAAATGGCAGCATATTGAGGGAAAAATAAAAATAAAATTTGTTTAAAGTGACAGTTCAGACATTTTAAAGTGGGATTCTGTTGAATAGTTCTGAACAGCATCACTACTAATGCATTAGTCTTATATAATTAATAATTAATAATAATAATAATAATAATAATATTAATAATAATAATAAGAATAATAATAATAATAATAATAATAATAATAATAATAATAATGCATTAGTCTTAATTCTGATAAGAGTGATGACCTAATGACTAGTCTATGGAGCTAAATTGGGGCCATAAGTTTTGTTTAAAACAAAAAGTTTTTGAATCTGAAAAACATTTTTTAAAATAAATATAGCTTGATGCTAGCACAAAAGTTAACAGGCTAAACTGTCAGTGAATGTTCATCAAATAACTTCTAACATTACAAGTAATTGTGGATCCCRTTAAGAAGGCAAGTAATTCACGTTAGCAGTGGCTCTGCTCTGACTAGCCATTAGCTCATCATTTCAGAAATCGTTAAGCTCTTTCTCCTTACGGAGGCTGGATAAAGAGCTATCTGCAACAGGTAAGATATTCACTGTACATAASCATTTAATAGAACCTGACTTTAAAACCTCCGAACTGTCCCTTTAGGGAAYGGATACGTTGACTCTGAGGAGGAGTTGGCCTGATAAAAATCGCGCATTACTCTTGTTTGTTTGGGTTTTGGTGGCTGAAAGTCCGGTCCGATACAACAAACCTGTGTCTCATTTATGCTGTTTTGTACAATGAAGCATTCCATGCATTTCATTTTTTTGTTTGTTTTTGTCTTTTTTTTTGTCTTTTTTTTGGAGCTGTCCAAAGTTGAGGGGGGAAAAAGAGAAGGGAAGAAATGGCTTGAGACAAATCACAGTATACTGGAAAGAGTTTTTGTTATGCAGGAGAGGATTTGTGAGTGCAGACGYGGTTAGAGAGATGAATAAAGTGGCTGTGTAGTTTTACTCTCGTACAAAAGCCGACAGCGCACTGATAATACCATGTGAATGAGATGAAAAAAGAAAAAAAAAAAAAAAAACGAAACAAGAGGGAGCAAAGAAGTTATGCAAATGATGATCAACACAGATGCAAATTGTGGAGGGAACAAAATAAAAGAATCAGAACAAGGCACAGAATTTTCTGCAAATGGTGAAAGTAAATAAAATTTGAACCAGCAGTTGGGGGGAGGGGTGTTGAATGGTGAAGCTCTCTACAGTGATTTCTGGCAACGCTTAGCACACCCTCCCACCCCCAACCCAGCCTCCGCTCGCTTTTACTGAAAAACTCCAACTTTTTTTTCTAAATCCTGTTTTGAGTTTTTATTTAAACACACGAAACGTTCCATCTACATCTGCAGACTAGACTAAACGACGGCTTAAAACCAGGCCTCTCTTTAAAAATCCCACCTCGACTTCTCGAACTCTCCCAAATTAAAAGCTCTCTGTCAAACCATTGCCCCACATCCCCCAAAAAAACCAGCTCCACGTCCCCGAGGAGGACGCCGGAGTGAGGGGGCGGGGCGGGGGGTCCTGTTTGGATTAGATGTAGTACTCCTTCTTTTCATCGGAGTTGGTGTGGCCACCCTCTGCATTGATGATGGCTGTGTCTGCGTCCGCTGCGTCGTCTGCTCCTTTGGCTTCGTGCGTGAAGTAGGTACCTGAGGAAGAGGAGGAGGAAGACAATGTCAGGGACCGAGCAACAGCCTGCTGCTCGGATGATACCAACGATTAAAATGTGACCCTCCGTTCCCAGCATCTAATTACGCAAACCCTCCACCGCGCCGCCGTTTACGTCCAACACAAGCAAGCTGTAATATTCAGATTATACAGCGGTTTTTTTCCCTTCTCCTCAGAAAAGATTGGCACATGAAAATCATGGCTTTGAAATGATCTCGAGTGCGGACAAGAACGCAGGATCACACGTTCAAATTAACCTTGTCAAGTTCATCCAAAGGAAAAAAAAAGGCCACTTCAAACCTAATTTGCAAGATTTATTCACGTCCGACTGCGGCGGCCGAGTTTAGCGACGGTGACAATATTCCGGGCTTGAGTGGAGGTGGAGGAAAACGCCGAGTGTGAAAAATGACTGTGAGGAGACAGAAACGAGGTGCTCAGTGATGCTGTAACGAAAGCTAACCTGCTGCTGACCCCAGACATGTTAAGACTCCAGGTGGGAAGCAGGAAAAAACCCCCCGCTATATTTGTTTCCCAGAAATGCTAAACCTGACATTTTAACTTACTGGTTGGCGTCAGTGACAGAAAGCTCAATATCAGCAGAAAACATGAAATAAATATGTATACTTGTGCTGCAAAAAAAAAAAAAAAAAAATCCATGTGTGCAAAAACTGGATATTTTCAGATTGCAAGCAAACAAAATAAGCACTGAGTGTCTCGTTGGGAACATTAACTCTTGTGAGTTGGGATTGTCAGACCTCAGATTCAGGACGAACAGTGTGACATTTGTCCGGGTCACGGAACAGTGAACCAGACTTTTATCGGTGCAAAGCTGGTAGTTTTACGCTCCATTCGACATTTGTTTTGTAGATCTGGAGAGAGCTTAGCATTCTTCGGAGGGTGTCAAGGTGATTTCTGGTCCCTGTACAACCCAAGCCAGGGCCTTGCCTACATCCCTGGCACAAAGTTGAGCTTGTTTCCTGTGCAGATTGTGCTTCGCAAAGGCCCGCCCACCAACAACATAATAAGTTGTGAAGAGAAGGGTGTTGGTTTGGTTTGTTGTGTCTGTCTGTATTTCAACCCTGAGGTATACTGTAGATCACGGAGCCAGAGGGGTGGCAAGTGCACCCCTGGAGCCTGATTGGCCACCCCCAACTGATTGACAAGTGGGGGTGGGGAGCACATTTGGTGATAAAAGATGGTCAGTTATCTAGTGTAGAGGGCACCTGTCAGTGTGTGAAGAAAAAAAAAACTTTTCTAAACCACTGAATTAATGAATTGAATTTTTTATCCATTTTATTTTTATTTTTTTGTAAATTACTATTGTTTGAATTTATTCTTGGGAGAAAAAGGAACATATATTTTTCTTCTTTCTGCTGGCTTTTATTTTATTTTGGTATTCATATTTTTTCCTACTGTATATAGAATTAATTTTGTTTTTTATTAAATGAAAAAATCTTAAATAAAATAAAATAAAAATAAAGCAACAATTCCACCGCACTAAATTTCAGCTTAATATGTATAAAAAGTTGATGAATTGTGGACATTTGCATTTAGCTTTGGTGGACATTTTGAATTATTTTATTTGAATCTGTTCGGCATGTCTCTCAGCTACCAGCGCATTACGTCAGCTTAATATCTCTAAAAGCTTAAAATTGAGATTTTAAAACGATATGGGAATTATTCTTGGCTACCACCTTTCCAAATTTCAGCTCAGTATTTTTAAAAAATGTCTGATGTTTAACTATTTGAAATTAGCTTTGGTGGCCATCTTGGATTTTTTAAATTTATATACATACTTTTACATTGCAGAATATTCATGGCTGCTAATAAATAATTTTTCAGCTGAAATTAACATCAGCGGTTAACTTAAATTGGGACTAGTATTTAATCTTGGCACCACAACAAATTTCCGCTTAATTAGTCTAAAAATGGCTGAATTACTGCCATTTAAATTTAGCTGTAGTGGCCATCCTAAATGTTCTTATCCAGAGTTGACTTTTATGTGCCCCCCTTAAGTAACATCTTAGCCACCCCTTGCCAATAAGTCTAGCTCCACCCCTGCTGACAGAACAAAACCCTGGATAGAGGATAGAAGCTGAACTGTGGGTGGCCAAGCTGGGATTCTGTAGTGTTGTTGGGAGTGGGATACATATCACTGACTGATTTGTGATTATTAGTCATTTTCATTGAAGTGAGCGGCAACTGTATTTTATGTTCTTCCTTTAAGCTATAAATGTTTGGTCCAAACTTCCAGCTAACATGTTTAGATGAACGACCGGACAGAAACCTGAGAGGAATCTAACTTTGGCACAGCCCTGAAATAAGTAAAGTCATCTTATTACATCTTTTACTTTGCCTCATTTAAAGGGTTTTCCTTTCCTAAAATGTTGAATGTACGTAATTCTATTTCCTCACGCTTGAGAAACATTAAAGTGTGAAATCCTTTATAGATTGTAATTATTCTGCCGTTATGAGGGCGGCACACAAGACTCGTCCCACTATTCATCAGCACCGCTAGAAGAATGTAATTTTACTCATCATCAGTAACCCGAAGCCCTAATAGCTGTCTTTTCATCGTTTGGCTCGCATTTATCTAATGATGTAAAAATAAGTTCTTACAGAAAYACAGTGCTGCAGCTGCACATGATAAGGCTGCTGAAGATATCTCTTTAGAGGACAGCAGTGACCTTCTAAGAAAGGCTGCAGCTTTCAGAAAAAGGAGATAATATACAGTATTTCAAAATCATATAAGGTACAATGTGTTTATTTGTCATGAACTGCTTGATGAATTGCAGAGAAAATTGCAAAATATAATTATTAAAGACTATCTACAAGGATATAATTCAACTAATTTTACARATTTTGAGCTAAAATGGTAGCAGTTTGTGTGGTAGTAGCCAAGTCAAGTCATTCTAGAATTGGAGGTGAACCAGTGCTGCTACAAAACAGAAATTAAACACTTTTTAAACACTCTTTAGGCACTTTGTAAGCAGCAACCTATAATAGAGACATTTGTTGGTTTAAAACATTTGCACATTACAATTTATATCTGTTGCACTCTGAGGATAAAACTACAAAGCTTGCGATAAATGAAAGSTGTATGTCCTCGTCTTCTACCTTTGTGTCTTGCAAAGTAGCGTCCGAGGACGATGAGCAGGCAGAGCATGGCGAAGACGACCACRGCCACCACCCCTCCGATGACGGCATGGTCCACCGTTCTGGGTGCTCCTTCCCCGGCTCGTGAATCTGTGAGCAGGAGYAGAAGAAGAAGAAGAAGAAAATCAATGTGGGGAAGAGAACTGTTAAAAGTGCCTGTCACATAGTGGGAATAGCAATCAGCCACCAAACCCCTATGGGGATGTCTGACAGCGGAGTGTGATAGAGATGTAGATTACACCTAATGCAGGAAGCTCACAGTGCCTAAAATCTGCTGCTATAACAACACAGAGACACCAACGTCTCAGTTTCCCCGCTGCCTGGAGCCCAACACGCACACCTCAATAAATTCAGAGCGGATGTTGATATTCGAACTTTAAAAAAACTCAAAAAAAACTTAAGATGTTTTTTCATTTTTCTTCCTAGAATTCATGGAAAAACTGAACCCTCAGCAGCCCCCTTATTGCTTCATTAATGGAAGTAAAAAAAACATCTGGTTATCAATGGAGTGAAAGTAGTCAAGTTTGTTTTTACCAGCAGGAGTTCTGAGTTTGACTGAAGCTCTTGGCTTTAATATGATGTGAAAGTTATTGATCAGGMGTAGGGATCCATGATAACACCAACCTAAAATCCATTTGTGGACCTGATTGGTTCTTTTTTACCAGACTTTTGCACCAACAGCTCATTTTAGGACGTTGCAAAGCGAGACAAAGAGAATAATCACATAGTGTAAGCCAAGATGTCCTCTTCTGAGATTTCTATCTTATTTGTATATTGTTGCTCCACAGAAGAACAGTCCTTGTTAAAAAGAAGTGAAATCCGCACAATAAAAGCCAGTTTTCATCAGCTTTAGCAGCTATTAGCTTTGGTAACTCACTTCCAGAGCTACACAGAAAGGGTTTTTCCACCACTCAGGAAAACAAAGAGAAGAGGGAAAAACTGATTAAGAAATAACAGAAACATCATCAGCATGACTCAACCTGCAGGACTGCAGTGAGGGGTGGGGCGGGGAGTTCTCTTCTACCTGTCAAACTCAACAAAACATTACCTGATAGATCTAATTGGTTATTTTGACTTCAGATTTTCTTTTTTTTTTAGTGCTGGGCAGATTCAATTAAACTGAGCAGGAATCCTTCTGACATCCAATTCACTTCTTGTCAGGCGGCAAAGAGTTGTGCTTTAACACACTTTCCCATTACGATGTTAATGTGGACTTGGCTTTGGGGGAGGTGTGTGTGTGTGTGCGTGCGTGTGTGTGTGTTGGTTGGTCGAGGTGGTTTATAAAAAAAATGGACCCGTGCAGAGGATCGTTGTTGACTGCCTGCATCAAACTATCCTAGGTTAAATTAATTTCTGGAAGAAGGGAAAGAGAAAACTTTAAAGTTAGCACACAAGTCTTTGCATGTTTCATGTTTCTTCATTTAATAATAAGCTGTGAATTTACCTGCATAAACAGGCTCAACTGAACTGAACCTTTGCCTCACTGACAAAGGGGTTCGGACATAAAAGGTCCGGCCTCTTGGTGGCACCAGAGATGACTTTCATCCTCACCAGAATTGATCTCTTCTTTATTCGAATTTGCAGCTTTCAAGGTTTTATTTTGAAAGGGCCTGAGCCCAAATAGGACAAAAATAAAAAGGACTAAAAATCAACTTATTTCTGCTCTCCAAACAGACTTTTCTTTGTAAAATACACCAGATTTAAATTCCCTCTTTAATCATATACAGGTAGCACCTAAAAGCATCAACACTCAGTCTGGTTTTAATGAGCCAGAACTGTCTGAATATTGTGTCACTTCCTGGAAACACTTTGTTCCAGTCAATCTATATGAAGCCATTTGGATAAGATCCTCAGAAAGTATCACTTATGTGTAATTACCCTCACTGAGTGAAATACAGCCCGAGCCTAATTATTCACACCRAGAGTCAGACTTCAAACTGTCATTCTTTAAAAAAAAAGCCCATCTGTTTAATTTGCATTTGCTTAAAATCTAAATTTTGTTGGATAAAATACATATTTATTCAAAATATAAGGTAGTAAGTAGGTTTAAGTTCTGGACTTTGGAGATTCATGGTTATGTTGATGAGATCTGGAAAATCTTTATTGAAGCACCATGATGTGAAGCTTTGTTGCTGCAGTTTCTCTTGAAAACAAAATTAGAATAGAACTTGTAAACCGGGAATGTCTGACATGAGAAAACAAAATATGCAAAAGATGGAATCCTAATTTTAAAAAAGGCACATTGTCTCCAGCTGATAACTTGATGGTTTATGTTTTTGGCACATGAGAAAGTCAGATTAAAGTTGTTTGCTTTCGCCCGACAAAAATTCCCGCTCTGGCTTATCTCAGACCTGACATCCAGCTCAGTCTTACTTTGAAATATGCTTAAAATACAATTGTTAATCAGGCGCGAGCTTCAAACGACGTGTCCACGGGGCTAAACAAAACACACAGCAGTCAATCAAGAGCGGTCATTTCAGCAGGAGGAGCATTTAGTATCTCATTTTCATAGGACATGTTGACAGAGGCTTGATTCCAGACAGGAGAGATCTCCTAATTGGATCTCCTAATCTGCTAATTAAGCATTAGTGATTTCACTGGTGCACCCATACTGCCTGTAGATAGAGGGGCAATCAGGAATACAGAAGCACAATGTGGGTGGGGTGTCATAAGAGCACACTGGCTTGTCAAGATCCACTTCCAATGCCAACAACACTCGCGGTTAAAGAGTGAATGTAATTAAAGTCCCAATGAACCTGTTCATTGAACCTATTTAAAAATGTCAGACGAATCTTTTGCCTCCCGGGTGGTGTGTGACATCGCTTACATACTGAGTGACTCTGGAAAAGGGTTGTTTCAAAATGTCAAAAATGCCTTTTTATTATTCTAAAAAGCTGATATGAAATTTATTTAGGAAAATTTTTGAAAAATAAATAGAGAAACAAGATTTTCTGTGAAAAAATGCAATTCTGAGTGCTGAATGACAGCTGAGACTGAATCCATATACAGCAGCTAGCACTACAGCTACACTAGCTAAAATCTACAAGAAGTTGAATGTGTTTGAAACTCTATAGATTGCAATTGGAAAAAAGTCTAGTTTGATACTGATGCTCTTACCATTTAACTCCTTAAACATACAACTATCCACATGTATACAACATCCAAATATCACCACATCATCCAAAAATCCACTGGTCATAATGATGGATGAAATATGTAACACCATGTATTTTCCATCTGCAGCTTTGTAAAAACAGTTTTATATTGAAGCATCTCCTCTTTTATACAATCCTACAGCTTCACTCAACAGATGCTGCGCTTCAAAACCATGTCAAATATCTTGAATCCAGAAACATTTCTTGGCTTTATCAGCCTATACTCAGATTCTGAAATGTCTTCGTTATTCATCTTTCTGATATGTGCTCTAACTGTACAAACCAATAAATAAATAAAAATAAAAACCTTGCTGGGAGCAAAATGAAATATATTGTGATGTTCAAAGGAATATTCCAGCATGTACTGCACTTCAACAATGTTGGACCGCTTGTTGGCCAGATCGCAAAAGACGGAGTTAAAAATACAACTGTCAGAATCAATGCTGCAGAAACAGAAATATCCTGACTTTTTCCCTCCAAGACTGAGCCTAAATCCAAAAAAAGAAGAATTCATATGGCTCATATTTGTAATATAAAATAAATCATACTGTCAGAATCATTAACAGCTGATAGTGGCACACAATTTATTTAACAGTATCCCAGCAGCCATGAGTCTTTCATTAAAAACAGTAGGATGGAAAGATTATGTTGTCTAGCAGTGAAAAAGAATGATGATCCACTTGTTTTCTTTAAATCAGTAGCGGTGTGATGTGAGGCAAACGATGTGTGGAGGCCTGAATAATTGCAAACAAAACTGAAGTGTCATTTTGTCTGAATAATACAATAGTTGTGAAAAAAAACAAGTTATGAAATCTAAATTAAACCCTATACTTTTTTGTCTCAGCAGAATCTGAAAATGCAATAAAGTTAAGCATCCGCTACAAGACGTCAAACTTTCCATTGTGTCTGAGCTGTACATCAAACTGCCGGACCACAGGTACCATCCATGTTGTCTTCAATTAACACATTTTGAATTTAGATTTTAAATACCATCTTCAGCAGTGTTAGCTAGATTAGTGGCAGCTTTTGTCGCAGGATGATGAGGTCACAATAAGAGCTGCACGCCAACGGCAAAGGCCGTATTCCATTCCAAAATTCTTTAAGGGGCAATCACAATCATGTAAAATCAACTTTTTTGAGTTTCATATCATGTTATAATGTTATACTCTCATAAAAACGTGCCCAAAGCCTTGCTTTGACTCATTCATGCATGTTTGAGAAATCCTGCAGTGTTTTTAGGAAGCCATGCTGAGGAGCAAAATGACAGGTGGGGACCAGGAACGCCTTTTGGTACCAGAAACGCCCCTGGGACGTGTCTTCAAGCCGAACTTTCTCATGGCAAAATGTAAGACAAGTGAGCTAAATTATGAAATGTGTTAGTGACTTTTTTTAAAATTTTATTTTATACTTGGAACCTCAGTTGCTCTCGAGCCGAAGACCACAAACTGATGGCTGGACAATCTTTATTARGATTTCATAGTAGGGAGGAGAATCCGTTGTTCCATCAATTACAGCAGGTTGTCCAGGTCCAGAACCAGACCCTGACACTACCATCATCATGTTTGTGACTAGCATTTGTGTAGATTTGCTCTGTGCCATTCATTTCAGTGCAAACAGTTTCAGTGTGTTTGTAATTGTCTATTAAAAAAGCCATCAGACTGCTGTGAATCGGAACACTTTCATACTTTTCCTTTTTATGACTTTTACACAGTAGTTTGAGAGTCTTTCCATTATTACTGAAACTGTGTGAAAAGCCCAAGGTCTCTGGGAACAAGGCTGCAAAGAAGTGTTAAAAAAATACACTAAGAASCCCAAAGCAAAGTCCATAAAAATTAAAGTGGCACCATCAAAAAAAGTTACAGTTCCTTTGTGTTGGTGGAGACATCTAAAGGGCTCGTTGATAAGTAGACACGTCTCCAGAAAAAGTCATAATGT